TTTTTAAATTTTTTTAGACCAGGTCTTGCTAAGTGGCTAAATTGTCCAAGTGGGGCTGGAACTTGCTAACCTCCTGCCTTTGCACTTGGTGTTGCATCATCTAGTCTGTTTCTCTGCCAGATTTGACCTGGCTTTCCCCTCTCTCTATTCAGATTTCTGCTCAGGCGCCCTCTCTACAGAGCCCCACTAGCTGACATCCCTATTTTAAACAGTACTCCTCTATCACTGTCAGTCCCCTCTCGCTGTTTTATTGTTTTATGACATCTACCATCATCCGAAGTTATGTCATATATTTATCATCTGCCTATGACTGGCAGAGTGTCAGGTCTTTGAGAACACCACTGTTTTGTTGGCCTCAAGAATGCAGCCTGGCATGTGGCAGGTGCCAGATAAGTTTGGGTGGATGGATGGATGGATGGGCAGATGGCTGTGTAGATGGGTATATAAAGGATGGAATGCAAAGATAGGTGGATAAATGGATGGCTTTGTGGATAGATGGATTCATAAATCCAAGGGTGGTTGAACAAATTAAAGCGTAGATAAAGGGAGAGATAGATGGATGAATATGTGGATGGATGCATGGATAGATGGATGCATGGACCAACTGATGGACTGATGGGTAGATATATAGATGGACAGATGGAAGGAAGGAAGGAAGCAAGCAAGCAAGCAAGGGTAAATGAATGAACATATCGTTGAATAGCAGACAGTCGGGTGGAGGATGTGACAGATGGGGGAATACTGTGTGCATACTCCTGCAAGAAGCCACTCTGATTCTATGCTGTCGTTTCATTTTCCAGGCTGTCCTCCACCTGTCGTGCCCCTGTGTGCCTCTGTGTCTTTGCTGGGTGGCCTGACCTTTGGCTACGAACTGGCCGTCATATCGGGTGCCCTTTTGCCACTGCAGCTTGACTTTGGACTGAGCTGCTCACAGCAGGAACTCGTGGTGGGCAGCCTGCTCCTGGGGGGGCTCCTTGCCTCTCTGGGGGGCGGCTTCCTCATTGACTACTATGGCAGGAAGCGAACCATCCTGGGGAGCAACCTGGTGCTGCTGGTGGGCAGCCTGAGCCTGGGCCTGGCTGGCTCTCTGCCCTGGCTGGTCCTAGGCCGCTTGGCAGTTGGCTTCGCCATCTCACTGTCCTCCATGGCCTGCTGCATCTACGTGTCAGAGCTAGTGGGACCTCGGCAGCGGGGAGTACTGGTGTCCCTCTATGAGACGGGCATCACCGTGGGCATCCTGCTGTCATATGCCCTCAACTATGCCCTGGCCAGCGCCCCGTGGGGGTGGAGGCACATGTTTGGCTGGGCTGCCGCACCAGCTGTCCTGCAATCTCTTAGCCTCCTCTTCCTCCCAGCTGGTGCAGAGGAGACCGTAGTGTATAAGGACCTCATCCCACTCCAGGGAGGTGAGGCTACCAAGCCAGGCCTGGGGAGGCCACACTACACATTTCTGGACCTCTTCAGGGCCCGGGATAACTTGCGAGGCCGGACCACAGTGGGGCTGGGATTGGTGCTTTTCCAGCAGCTAACAGGGCAACCCAATGTTCTATGCTACGCTTCCACCGTCTTCCATTCAGTCGGCTTTCGTGGAGGGTCCTCCTCTGTGCTGGCCTCTGTGGGGCTCGGTGTGGTAAAGGTGGTAGCTACGCTGACTGCCATGGGGCTGGTGGACCGTGCTGGCCGCAGGGTCCTACTGCTAGCTGGCTGCACCCTTATGGCCCTGACAGTCAGTGGCATAGGCCTTGTCAGCTTTGTGGTGCCCATGGACTCTGGCCCCAGCTGCCTGGCCATGCCCAATGCCACCCAAAAGACAGGCTTCCCTGGAGGCTCTGACCTGCTGAAGGAACCATCGCCACCTCCAATGCCAAGAACCGCAGGAGACCAATGGGAGCCAGTCTTGACAACTGCTAAGAAAACCAAGTTCCATCCCCGAGCCAGAGCTGCCACAGTTACTCCCTTGCCAGCCCTGAGCACCACCTCCCTGGTGCCCCCTGACCCCACCCCAGAGCACACACTGCTGCGCTGGACAGCGCTAATCTGCCTGATGGCCTTCGTGAGTGCCTTCTCCTTTGGCTTTGGACCAGGTAAGTGGAATTTCTTGCAGGTAAACCTGGAGCCCCCTTCCATCTCTCTTACTGGGCAGTTTAAGGCCCTATCAGTCTAGAGGGGCACTACAGGCAGATTGACCTAAAGCTTCAGGACTCCCCTCAGGGTGGGGGCCTAACTTCATGTTTAAAAAAAATATATATATATATACATATATATACACACACACACACACACACACACACACACACATACGATGGCCTCTAAACTGTTTAAGCCTCAGGCCCCATACAACCTGGATTTGTCCCTGGATAACCCAACTAGAAAGGTTTACTTGAAGGAAATTTAACATAGAGGGTAGAAACCAACCATCCCAGTTTGCCCATGACTGTTCTCATCTCAGCACTGAAAGTCTATGACCCAGGAGGCCCCTGAGTCCTGGGCAAAAAGAGACTGTGTTCACCCAAAAGGAACTCTTACACCATAAAGGGGAATGAAGCTGGGGAGACTTTGGTATCAGGAGCCTAACATTTTCCATGCCCCACATGGCTGGGAGGCCACCGTTCGGCCCGTGGGTGCCAGGCCTCAGCCCAGGAGCCCCTCTGCTCTTCCGTCCTAGTGACCTGGCTTGTCCTCAGTGAGATCTACCCTGGGGAGGTCCGCGGCAGAGCCTTCGCCTTCTGCAACAGCTTCAACTGGGCCACCAACCTCTTCATCAGCCTCTTCTTCCTCGATCTCATTGGTGAGTCCTTGGGCCTCAGCACTCAACCGAGTTCCGTCCAGATCCAAAACAGTTTTTCTCAGAGCCGGGGTTTCGGTATCACTTGAGTCACAAGGGACAGAAAACCCAGTGGAGCCCAAGTTATATTGGAAATACAAGGGAATATTCTGTCTTAAATCACTGACTAGAGGAAAGTGGGTGGCTTCAAGCAGAGCTGATCCCTGGGCTCCATCACAGCAGTCAGCCATCTTTCACTCCTTCACCTCTGCGTGTCACGTCACACCCAAGCAGATCGGTCTCACAGGACAAAGATGGCTGCCAGCAACCACTCAGCTTAGCAGCCTAAGAAAGAGAGCCCCTTTCTCACTGGCTCCAACCCGAAGTCCTGGGCCAAGCCCTCATTGGCTCAGCAAGATCACATGTCCATCCCTGAGCCAATCACAGTGGTTATTCTTGTACCTAGGCCTCCTTCACTGTGGGTCCTAAGACACATTACAGTGCTTAAGACTCAGTTTCTTTCCTTCTCCATGTGACCAAGAGTCCCCTCCTCAAGGACACAGCCAACTCACAGAGCTGTCAGGGGCTCTGAGGCAAGAAGCCACCCACCATAACTGTCTCCTGGCACAGTAGTAGGGACCCTAGGCTTCTCTCTGCTGCCTCAGACTTCAGGCATTCCTGTAAGTGGGGAATGAATGAGGGAGCAGAGGGGAGGAGAGGAGCAGAGGGGGAGGGGAAGAAGATGGGAAAGAAAACGGGACCGGCTCATTATCATCCCCATTTCATAGGTAGAAAAATATCTTTCCCGAGTCCAACTAGGTAGTCAGAGGACAGAAACCCTGCCGTCCTGGCTCCCGGCCAGACCCTCTCAGGGCAGGCTGCTTGGAAGTGTGGCCTTGGCTGTGAGCGGATAGAACTGCCTCCAAAACATAATCCGTGCTTCTGCCACAACAAAGTCCCTTCCTTTGTGGCCTCCTTTGTCTGTCTTGGGTAGGGACCCAGGGTCATCCCCACCCTGGTCACGGGCCCTGGAACCTGCCCCCACCTGCAGCTCCAGGAGGAGGAGGTGCAGGGCTGCTTGAGCCGCTGGTCCAGGGACTGAGCCTCAGTCTCTGTCCTCTCCCCAACCAGTCAGACACAGGCCGAAGTGGCCAGAGCTCAGTTTCCCTTATGACCACTTCCATTGCTGGGACTTCCGAGTCTTATTTTTGAAGCTGGGCTTTGCCAAAGCTGTGTCCCCACCAAGCTATTTCCTGTCAAGCTGAATGTCACTGCCTCGGTTCAGGCGTACCAAATTCTGAACGTGGCTAATGTGCTAGAGGTGCATGAGTGAGCTTTCTCCTAAGTACAAGTTGCCCCATTTGTGTTGGTGGGTTTGTGCCCTGTTCTTTCCCTACCTGTGGGTGGCTGGTCAGAGTCGTGCTTTGAGGTACTTACTGACAGCTCCGTGGCCGTTCCGCAAATCTGTCATCCAGCACCTTTGAGTGAATTGACTTTCAATGCTCCCCCTAGAACCTGCCGAAAGGCCCAGGCCGCAGCGCACTCATACCTGCCCTCCTGTCCCCAGGTGCCATTGGCTTGTCCTGGATCTTCCTGCTTTATGGGCTGACCGCTGTCCTCGGCCTTGGCTTCATCTACTTTTTCGTTCCTGAAACAAAAGGCCGGACACTGGCGGAGATAGACCAGCAGTTCCAGAACAGTCGGTAGGAGGTGGACGTGGACTGGTGGGTCTTGGGAAAGAGCCGCCCCAAACCTGGGTCAGGGCTTTGGGCATCAGCCCTCATCCTCTGTCTCCGCTGGATGTCTGTTTCCTCTCCTCCCACTTCCCTTCCTGCTGAGTTCTGTCCCGTCCTGCTGTGACAGTTGCTTCCCATCAGTTGTTTTGTGTCTTCCTGCTTTTCATTTGACTCTGAGGCCCAGCTCACAGGGATTTTAAAATCTCTCAATTACAGGGTCAGAGGTCAGAGCAGGGAAATCGTAAAACCATAGAATCTGAGATTCATGGAGCCCTGGAGAAACAAAACTTTATAACTGTGGCCTTTAAAAATTTCATAGAAGGGGGTTGGGGATTTAGCTCAATGGCACAGCACCTGCCTGGCAAGCGCAAGTTCATGAGTTCGATTCCCGGTACTGGAAAAAACAAAACAAAACAAAACAAAATTTCATAGAAGCCTGAAATGGCAGTGCACACCTGTAATCCCAGATACTTGGAAGGCTGAGGCAGGAGGATCAGATGTCCAAGGCCAGCCTGGGCAAGTTAGGGAGACCTTGTCTCAAAACAAAGCAATGAAACAAGCAAAAATTATACACAAACATTTGTGGACATAATCAATTTATTCTGTGGATATTTATTAAGTCCTTACCATGGGCCAGTCAGTGTCGGGACCTTAGAAATGTGGCAGAGATTAAGAATAATAAGTTTCTTACAGCTGGGTATGATGTCACATGCCTGTAATCCTAGCACTTGGGAGGCTGAGGCATGGCGATTGTTGTGAGCTTGAGGCCACCCTGGGCTACGTAGTGAGTTTGAGGCCAGCTTGAACTACATAGCAAGACCCTGTCTCGAAAAACAGCAAACAAGCAAACAAAAAGCCAAAGAATGACAAATTTCTTGCCCTCTTGAGGATAAACAAACCAATAGTGCATAAACATTTAGCTGGTGATATGTAATTAGAAGAAAATGAAACCAGGGGGACAGAGGAGACAGGGGTTGTGGCTACGTCAGAGCAGGTGGTCAGAGAGGGAAGATTCTTCCTGGGGAGGTGCAGTTTCAGTTAGTGAGAAGGAGGAGGTGGCCGTGTGAAGGGGCGGGAGGAGGGTTCCAGGTAGACAGAGTGGCAAGTGCAAAGGCCCTGTGGTGGGAGTGTGTCTGACATAAGCAAGGAGCAAGGGAGCCATTGTGGCTGCAACAGAGAGACGGAGGAAGGACCCATAGAAAACCAGATCAGCCAGGTAGGTAGGAGCTAGGAAGTTCTTTAGGTCGAAGAGGAGAATTCAGAATCACAGCATCACAGGACCTTACACCATCGAGTAAGAGAAGAGCAGAATGGGGTTTTTTGAAGGGACCTCAGTATGCTACAGTCCCTTTGTATAGTAAGACTCCCCATTCTATTACTGGGAGGCCCTGAGAGAGTCTTAAATGTCATGCTGATACTGAGCTCCCCAGCCTCACCCACTTCTGGCTCCTGAAGCCAGGCAGGCCTGGCATGGTGTAACACCTCTACCCTGGTCCGCCCTGGCCCAGAGTGTCTCTGCCAGCTGGACATCCCAGGTTGTGGGGTGACACACGCCTGTAGCTGCATTAGTTAGGAAACAGCTTTGGTGACTTAGAGCAGCCCCAGTGAGGCATCCAGGGCCGGGGTGACAGCTGTGCTCACTGAGGCCACCCAGGGCCCGGAGTCCTCCTGTCTGGCTCCACCGTCCCCTCAGCACTGCCGTTTCCACAGGGTCCGAGATGTCCCGCCGCCACATTCCTGCAGGAGGAAGGGGCGGGAAGAGGAGGGGGCCATCAAGGTCACAGCCAGCCAGGTCCCTTTGGACAAAACTTGACTACAGCTACATGCAGAGGAGGCAGAGAAACGTGGTCTTTAACCTGGGCGGCCAAGTGCGCAGCTAAAAATTGAGGGTTCCGTTCCTAGACAGCTGCCCGGAATCTCCGCTATGCTGGTTTTCTTGTGAGAAGATTCCAGACCCAGCCTCTCGCACAAAGAGTAAAAGAGGCAGAAAGGCACAGAGCCCACAGCCTGCGGAAGCAAGCTCCGGGGTAAGGCAGGGTGGAGGGAAGTGTCGGACTGAATCTGGGGCACTCAGGTGTGAGGACAGCAAGTCTGGGGTGTTGGAAGAGTTCCCAGGCAGGCCTGTGCCCCGCCACTCAGTCTGGATGGTTGAGGGATCTCCTGATATCAGAGCCACAAAGGGAGAGTGAAAGAAACTTGATCTTGTCCACCAAGCTGCCAGGATTTTGACACAGGAAGTAATGGGAAGGTCTTTTCAGCACCAACTGTTCAGTCCTGTATTGCTCCACACCAGAGTCTCAATCCAGGAGAAAGCCTGACTGGCCAAGCCTGGTTTATGCACCCGACCCTGTATCCCCGTCTCAGCCAGGATAGGGCAGGGCTTCTTGACAGACAACCTACAAGACGATGCTGCGCAGGGGACAGCTCTCCAGGCTGAGGAGCCAATGCTGGCGGAGCCAACACACACAGCCAGGGGGCCACTTCTGTTCCCTGTGCCACAGGCGGAGACCTACAGCGGAGCCCATCCTCTGGAGTGATACAGGCTGAAAAATATTCCCCCCATCCTTGTTGTATGCCGGTTTCTCTGAAGTCCATTCACTTAGCTTTCACCAAATATTTTTAAGGGCCAGTTAGGAGCTGGGCAATGGAGTAGCCTCTGGGCATAGATCATGATCAGGCGAGACCCTGTCTCTGGTCTTAGAGAGAAGTTACATTTCCAGGGAGGGAGGGGGAGGGGCAGGGCAGGGGGAGGGAGAGAGGACAAAACGTGTGAATGCATGCACAAGGTCGTTTCAGAGCAGCGTTGCACCATGAAGAAAACAAGCTGGGTTAGTGCACCGGAGAGAGAACAGTGGGTTGGGGGCAGTGCCACCCCCATAGCTAGGGTGCGAGTGGACTGTGCGGGGCACTCACAGACGCTCCACAAGCACATGGTATCCACTGCTGGATTCCCAGGGCCTAGGGCAGCACCAGGCCCATCTCAGGCACATACTAAATGCAGCTCCATTGAAAGAAGGGAAGGAGGCCTCTGAGGGGAGAGATAGCCATCCATTTCGAGGACTGGAGGCGAATGTTCTAGGCGGAGTGAAGAGCAAGAGCAAAGGCCCTGAGGTCAGGTGTTCTGAGAGACAGACTGGAGGCCAATGTGGCGAGGGTGTGATGGGTACCTGGGACAGGAGGGCGATGATGTTGGAGAGGGCACTGGTGAGGGGCTGGGGTACTAAGTGAGTCTCCTAAGCAGGTGGCTAGATTTGGCTTTTGTGTTTAGAAAATTGGTTCTCCTGTGATGGGAAGGGGTGGGCACAGGTAGGAGCTGCCGGTGGTCCTGGCGAGGGGAGAGGGCAGTGCGTGTAAGGAAGGCAACAGAAGGGAAGGGAAGGGAGGGGAAGGGAAGGGGAGGGGAGGGGAGGGGAAGGGAGGGGAGGGGAGGGGAGGGGAAGGAAGGGAAGGCTGAAGGGGCCAGGTAGGAGTGCGAATGGGCATGGTTCCTGCTGGCCCCAGGGAAGGCGCCCAGTCCTGGCACCCTCTGATCCCTGTCCCTCTCCCCCTGACAGGTTCACCCTAAGCTTTGGCCACAGGCAGAGCTCAGCCGGCATCCAGTACAGCCGCATCAAGGTCTCCTCGGCCTCCTGAGGAGTCCCTGCACCCAGAAGATGCCGACTGTCGGTGTCTGCAGACCATCTCCAGCTTCCTGCTTGCTGGGCCCTGCAGCACAAGGTCCAGGAGGCCCTTTGGGAGTGACTCTTGCCCCACAGGAGGTTTTTGTGGTTTTCTGGGGTTTTTTTTTTTTTTTTTTTTTTTTTGCTGGGGTCAGAGATGAAAGTCTGAGTAGCCCAAACTCACTTTGAGTGTGACACCCTGAGGATCTGTCTTCATGCCTCAGTTTCCCCACTGACTTTGCATATATCTGCAGCATTTTTAGTGAGAACATCTATGGAGTTCTCCTCACACCAGGGACTTTCTCAAGCAATCTTTGGGGTACCAGTCCTGGCAGGAAGTGTCTCCTAGAATTGCCCCTAAATCCACCAAGGGTACCATAGTCTCTGCTGTCTTTTTCCATCCGGCAGGGAGTCTTTAGGGAGAATCCTGCCTTTGGAATCTTACCTCGCAGTCTTGATCATCCCCTTGAATTCTCTTGCCAAAGACATTTATCATTTACTTGAAACTCTGCTTGGCCGGGCCTGAATTCTAGTCCTGGTTCTGCCGGTGTTATTCCTCTATGAGCCTGGGCCTCAGTTTTCCCCCTACGTGCAATGGGAGTCTTGGGCTGGGCTGTCCTTGAGACCTCTTCTGACCCCATTGGGCTGGAATTCTAAAGGCGGGTGACTCAACAGATACTCAGCACAGTGCTGCCACCCTCCTGTTGCTGGCGTCACTTTGGCGGATTCAAGTTTTAGTTTGGTGGGAAGGAGAGTGGGATTTGGGGGCTGCGCACACATAGATCCAAAAACTGTCATGTGCGTGTGACAGATGCGAAGGTCCACTTCCCGGACAGGGCAGAATGCTCGGCCGGATGGGGGCAGTTCGAGGACCACACACCCGATGTCATTGTGGCCGCCGCTAACAGCTCCCTCAGTGTCTGTGTCCTCATCTGCACAGTAGGGACAGTTGTGGCCCTGCTGCTGTGTCTAACCCCCTGCGTCCCTTGGCCCATAACGGTCCCTCCGTTTCTAGATACTTCCTCATCCAGGGATGGGCTACAGCCGGCTTGTGAGAGCTGATTATTAAATTAAACCAGTTGTTAAACACGACCGTTATCAAAAATGTAACTTATTTTACATTATTGAACTTACAATTAAATGCATTGTATAAAAGACAAAGGTGGGTTGGGGATTTAGCTCAGTAGCACAGTGCCTGCCTGGCAAGCACAAGGTTGTGAGTTCGATTCCCGGTACTGGAAAAAAAAAAAAAGACAAAGGTAATTAATACCCAACACTCATTGATGCCTAATTATCTTAACGCACTTTACTGTTATCTGTGTTCCGCTGGCCCCAGAACTGTGTCTGCTTCACACAGGTTACGGAGCACCAATCGGGACTGGATCATTGTGTTGCTGACTTCCCAGAGTTACCATCTGCTGGGTCACATGTTACTAATGCAAACTGAACTCAAAAGTGTGCCATGTTTTAGCTGATACATTGTAAGTAAATAAAAATACCTAAAAGAATATTTTTCCACTATTCCTAAACTATTGTCCAATTTGACAGATGCAGTGCTTATGTCATCAGTGAAGGAATCCTGAAATACTGTATATGCTAATCGCTTTTTTAAATGTTCAAATCTCTTTTCAGTGCTTGGGGCTGAGCCTAGTGAGTGCTGAACTACATCCCCAGCCCTTTTTTAATTTTTATTTTCAGTCAGGGTCTCACCAAGTGACCCAGGGCAGCCTTGAACTTGAGATCCTCCTGCTTCATCCTCCTACACAGCTGTGATTACAGGTGTGTGCGACCATCCAGCTGAACAACTTTACTTTTCTTGTCTCATTCATTAATGTAAACAAAGATTTCAACCAGCTTTCATGACGTGTAATTGTCAGGCATTTTCATTTGTCGTTTAATTTCATCAAATCATGACTGAATTGCAGGGAGAGTTGGCTTGGGATATAAGCGATTAGTTAAAAAGAAAAGTCAGCAAAAAGATTCTGTAAGAATTAGCTGTATGAAATTTGCATACGAGGAGTTACAGTAAAGAGTATTTACAGTGTAGAGATTATTATTATTTGTCAGTTGTGTGCCGCGAGCTCATCCTTTATCTCAGTAAAGGTCACACCCCTGCGCATGCGTGCTTTTCTTTGGCGTGCACGTAAGCAACGCCCAGCACCGCTCCTGTCTGTGCTAACGGCCCCCTCCGCCCTCACCCGTGGAACCAAACTTCTCTCCATTCGCCCTTCCCCTCTGTCGGCTGGGAGGCCCACCCTTCTCTTCTTAGGGCGGCTCCTTCCCTTTCTCAATCAGCACCTTCCTCCCCGAAATGGGAGAGGCACGCAGGAAGCCAGGCATGGCAGACAGTGAGGCGCAGGGGTCTGCAGATGCTGGTGAGCCCGGCTGTCTCGAGAAGGGTCGGTGACACTCAGTTCCAGCCGGTGGCTGCCATGTGAGAACATCGGCCCGATGCGGCCTGACCAGCTGAATTCTCAAGGAAAGCAGGCATTCACATTTTCCTAATTATGAGCACTTAATCCCAATCTTGAAGCTAAGTTACAAGCTGTGCTCAATACATTGTGGCTAGATCGTGGCCTTTAGTCTGCGCCTCCAGGCCTGATGGTTCTCCCTTTGAGACATTTCTCTCTGCCGCATTTCTAAGAAAGAGCCACGGCCTTGGGGATCAAAGCCACGCCAACTGCATCGCTGGGTGTTTGGGTAATGTGGGTGGGAGCGGTGCTATTGAACCCGGAGGAATCCAGAGGAGAAGTCATCGAAGAGAACGTCCCGTAACCCAAACTTATTACAGTCAGGCGTGTGGCTTGAGTGACTGCTCCTCCGTATCATCGGGACAATACTACTGATTCTTCAGAGGTGACACCTGTCAACCACTTGGTCCAGGAGGAGCTCAAAGTGGGCGCTGTGTCCCAACAGCATCCTGGACAGCTAGCCCTGGGGGAGGAGGACGGTGAGGACAAGGATCACGTGGGAGATGGCAGTGGGGGCAGGCAGCAGAGGAAACTAAGAGGCTGAGACGCCAGTCTGGCACTCAGGGATCTGGAGAACCAATCCGAAGAGAGAAGTGCTCTGTTCGCTGATGCTCAGGGTGCATGCTGGGAGCCTCCGCAGTCTCGGTTCCCAGGCCCTGTCTCGTGCATGACACTGCTGTCGTGCGTGGCCACCACTTAGCATCTTCTGGCTCTTTGCCAAATTACGCTGTATCGACTACTCACAGATTGCCTTCCTTCTGATGGGTTTGCTTTTCCACTTCAACAAATAAATGTGTTTTGAAAGGAAACTCTATTAATTCACGTTCCCCCTCAAACAGGCATTTATTATTATGTGCTGGACACTGCTCCACATCCTGGGTGCTTAGCAGTGAACAAGATGAGCGCCCTGTCCTCCAGGAGCTGACATTCTCGGGGGAGAGATACATTAGAGCCAAGGAGAGACGGGGAGGAGAAGTGGGAGAGAAAAAGAAGGACGGGGGAAGGGAAGGAGGAAAGAAAGATAAAAAGGAGGGAGGGAGGGAAAGAAAGGGAGGGAGGATGAGGAGGGGGAGGGAGACAGAGAGACAGAGAGAGAGAGAGAGAGAGAGCGGCAGTTAGTGAAGAGCGATAGGAAAAAGGCCAAAGGGAGCTGGGGTGGTTGAGGCAGCTGTTGGCAGATGTGGCGTGCACGGTGCCCACAGTGGCCAGGGAGAGCTCCTTCGAGGCGTTGGTGTCTGAGCAGGGACCTGCATGAGGGCTGGAAGGAGCCAAGGCAAAATGCGGGCAAGAGCATCCCAGGCAGGGGCCACAGCAAGTGCACAGCCCGACGTAACAGCTTGGCAGGTTGGAGGCCCACCCGGGAGGCTGGGGGAGCGCTGTCCTGATGGAGGAAGAGGAGAGAGAGGTCAGCAGGGTCTGACTGAAAGGTTCTTGCAGACCTCAGGACAGGTTTAGGCTCTATTCTAAACGCTCTGAGAAGCCGCGGGAGGAGGCAAACAGTGGCTGACATGATTGCCCCAAGATGTCAGGTACTCACTGGATGCTGGTGAATGCAGAGCGACAGGCAGTTATACAAATGGGAAGAAACCAGCACAATGCTGTGAAAGCAACACCTTGTCACTCCCTCCTCTCTGAGCACCGCTGTCCACGGGGGCTTCTGAGCCTGCAGAGATGCCACACCCTGGCCTGAAGCTGCAGAGAACAGGATGGGACTTGACATGTTTATACAGTGCTTGTGGCCCCTACCACATTCCCCACGCTTCTGACATGCACCCCCTACTTCAGGCAAATACAGATCATGGGGCACTCACAAACACCAGTGAGGACCGAGGTGTCCTTTGTCACTCTCACATGTCAGACCCCCCTAGGGACAAGACATGAAGCTACTTCCCACCCTGAGATCGGCCAACCTGGGGCAGGCGGCGCTTCCCTGCCTGCGCTGCAGATGGGGCTGACTTCCCGCCCTCTCCTCTCCATCCTGGCAGCCTCTGCCCCATCTCTCCTCCGCCGCCCTGAACACGTTCAAACCCAAACACTACTGCTTTCCAGGTTTATCTCCAACACCCACCTCCTGGTCACCACTGTCTAATGTTCCTCCTGCTGTGCTAATGCTCGCGGATGGACGTTGTCTGACTTCACCGAGACATTTGACCTCTGAGCTCCACCCCTTGACTGCACCTTCCCAGGTGAACCTCTTCTGGCCTTCAGCCTCCTCCTGGTCCATCTGAGCGCCCATGTCCCAACCGTATCATCTGCTCCTTGTAGACAGCTCACGTACCCCTGGCAATATTGACCCTGGATTAATTCACACACCCGTCTTCTCTTGGCTTGCATGCGGGATGGCAGTGTCATAGAAGTGGCATAGGAAGAAAGTTGTACAACCTCGTAAACAGGTTTCACTTAAAATCGGTGAAAAAACCTCAGACCCACCACCCAGATCCTCCCAGGGCACTGGTCCCTGTACTCCAACCCTGTAATTTAACATCATGTCTTTGGCTGCACTTTTTCTCTCTCCTACTCTCGGCAGCTGACCTTGCCTCATATTTCCCTGGATGAGAAGAAGTCCTTGGGACAGAGACAGGACAGAGACAGAGACAGAGGCTCCCATAATTATGTTAATCTCTTTTGTGCATAGCAATGGCCCCTGTATTTAGCTGCTAACATGCCTGCCCAGAAAAGGTACTACATTTCCCAGACTCCCTTGCAGCACGTGAGCAAGTTAAGGTCAGTATGAGTGAGGAGAAGACAACAGCTAGGCAAGGCTTGTGGCAGAGAAGCCTATGCCCCAAATCTCCTTCCCCTTGCTTCCTTTAGGAGCTAAAATCCCTTTGTTTTAGCTGTCTTCCAGCTAACGATGACAGTTCCCAGCTTCCCTTGCAGCACAGGTGCCGTGTGACTAAGTTATGTTCGTTGGCACGGAAGTGATAGCCATGTGTGCATTTCTGCGTCATTTCCAAAGGGAAGTTGTTTGCATTAAATAAACTTGCTCTTTGCCTTACTGCAGGCCAGAATGAGTGTGGGGTGATCACCTTCCACCCGCAGACAAGGGGATAGTGAAGTGATAAGATGGGGGGTGTCCACACCCATGGAAAACTTTGTGGACTAAGGCACCTGTTGACCCTGTTTCAATACCCGCTGCTGGACTATTACGTGAGAAACGTAGCCTTGTTCCAGCTACCTTTTGTTACAGCCCAATGAATACACACCTGCAGAAGGGACAGATATGGCCGAAGACTTTCCTCCTCTATTCTTGTTGACTGAACTTAGGGTTAGGGAACACCCTGGACCACGTCGACAGGAGCAACATCCTGAGCATAGTGAGGCACCAAGCTAGTAGCATCCTGGAGCTCTGCTGATGCCCAGGAGAGCTGCCCCACCAGCCTGCGTGTTACCTGAAAGAGAAACAACTTCTGTCTTGGTTAAGCTATGGTTATGGTTAATTCACATGTCTGTTACTTGAAACCAAATTAATCTGACCAGTTCAGAGGGCTGTTACCCAAATTCCCCCTTATCCCTTATCTCTCCCCAGTCCTCCACCCCCTCTTTACTTGCTGTTGCAGCCCTGTTGGGAGGTGGGTATTTGTGAGGTCTTTAAGAGGGACTAAGACTGCTCTCTCAAGACTGGGTTGATTCTCATGGGAGTGAGTGAGCTCTTACTTCCATGGGCCTAGACTAGTTACTCCAAGACTGGGCTGTAATAAACCGAGGTCAGTCTTTGAGCTTTATCTTTTCCCTTACACTCCCACCTGCCCTTCTGCTTTCCCATCATGTTCAGATGTGACTTGAGATCCTCCGAGGATGGGGCCACCCGACCTTGGACTTCCAGTCCCCAGAACCATGAGCTAAGTAACCTTATTTGCTTTATAAATTATTCAATCTGTGGTATTTTGTTATAGCAACAGAAAATGAGACATACCCTCAACAGAAGAGGGACTAGGTGCCAGTTCACCCAGCACAGTCACCCTGCAGCATCCCAGCCACATGTGTGTCTGGCTCTGCTTGCCCATGCTCAGGATGCTGTTGATTATAGCTCAGTCACCCTGCTGTGTGCTCCGCAGTGGGCCACCTGCCTGTTATTCACACAGATTTTAGTTGCTGTCTTGGTCGTGATGTGGTAGAGGGTCACAGGATTCCTGGCACATGGGAGAGCTGTAGGGGTGGGGTACAGATGGGGTACACAGAGAGGAGGTGACCTGCCCGGAAGTACACCGTGCAGTCAAGAGACCCCGTCTGAGTTTTGTCTCAGCTGCTTTGCAAGCTTTGTGAATGTGGGCAAGTGGCTGCACCTCTCTGCACCTCAATTTCTCACCTGTAAAGCTCCCATCTGAGAGGGAAGACCCACTAAGATGCTAGATAAAAAACCACATTCTGGCAGTAAAGGGCAGGGCACCGACACACAGTGGGGATCCAGCTAAACTGCCCCCGGGACTGGGCAGGGCATCCCATCCCACCCGAGTGCTGTCCCAGCAATGACTCTGAGCCAGGGCCAGACTCAGTTTCCACATTTGTCCATTTTCCTTTCCAGCTCAAATATTTTCTCATCTGTGGCAGAAGAGGAGATGGAATTTTGATGTGAGATGCAGAATTTGCACAGAGCTACCCTCTGAAAGTATTTCCAGACCCTCACATGTTGGGTCCTGTCCAGAATAGAGAATAATTTATTGTGGATGGTTTGGCACATGGCTTTGGAGTTTTTTCTCCTCATGAAATTTTGAAGTGGAAAAGCTGACAGTCTGCTTTTAATTGATCCTTGCAAGATGAGAAAAATTCCCAAGTAGGCTGTCGAAAGTCTAAATGAAATTAAAGTCTAAAATTATAGTTGTCTGTTTTGCTTTGTACTAAAATCGTATTAAAAATAAAACATTCATTGATAAATTTACACCTTCTGAAATTATATAATTAACGTGCTCTCAATCGTTATCTGGATTCTTTTTTCTTGTTAAAATATTTGAGTGTTTCCGATCGTTTTTTACACATTACATCAATAGTTCTCACAATCTGTGGGGAGAGGGGGTGGATGGAGGTGTCTTTCCACTGGTTTTGGCACTGTGACATTGCTAAACCCTTCCAGATTTGGGGTCTGATGCCATTCCACTCTCCTGGTTTGACAGGCTACTTCAGTGGTGACTATGAGATGATTTCCAAAACTCCCCCTATAGCATGCTATTCCAGCAATAATAAATGTGTTTTTATTGAATCTGATCAATACCATTTCAACATCTAAGGCAAGAAAGTGCTTTTTTTAAACCTCAAACTTACAACTAGAAGGTGAATGATGTGCTTATCTGTTCTGTAAATTAGATTGATGGACACCGACCTGGTTATTAAATCCCCCAGACACAGTTTTAGGGATGCCAGAAACAACCTAAGTGGGCATTTGTCTCTTTGACTTGCCGAAACCCACAACTAGACCTAATACGAAACTGCCATCATTGCCTGAGTACTACGGCCAACTCCAGTCTTCGATACACATGGATTTTCTATTTTGAATGAAGTCATCAAAATGTGAACAGGGTTTATCTTGAGGTAGTGGAATGAACACTAATTGGGCTGATTGTGCTTTTCTGCATTGCCAAAGACAATGGAGTTTAAATATATTACATGTCATACAGGACACCTCCAGGAAAACAAACAGTAACATAACTAATAATGAGGAAGTGAAACATGTATGCTGACAAGTCCTCATCTTTCTTATCTTAGACATTACTACTCTCTGTTTATTCGTTGAAGTAGAGGCTTTGACACGTTGGGCACCGATCCTTCAACGTATTTAATTTGCCTGAGAAGTTTCCTTTAAACTTGTGGAGTTAGTTGCCCACCTTTGAAATTTGTGACGTTTCACATAGAACCTTGTATTTCTGGCCTCTCTTGGAAGAGCTCTGGCTGTCAGTGGCCGGTATTCTGCAACTCAGCCAGCAGATGGCGCAGAGTCGCAGCTCCTCCCTCTGGCTGGGCTGGAAGCTCCGTCTTGGTAGAGCCCCACTCAAATGTTTTAATGGTTACAACCTTAAAAATAGAAACGAAAACTTCTAACAGTAGTAATCTTAGGCAGTGGGTTGGTCATGTTGGAGGTTAGCTCCCCATTTAGAACCTTCTCTTTGTATCTTGTTTCCATAATTAAGGGACTAGCTAAGTAAAATGCCATTTAAATGTTTTTTGTTGTTTTGTTTACTTTTGAAAATTCTAAAGATTAGAGATGACAGCTGCCCACATCCTACTTACTACCGACAACATTTTAGAGTGTATACATGTACTTTTTGTCTATGGTGATAAGCCAAGCTGGTTAGACATGAAGATGTGTATCAGGATGGATACTACACGTCATTGAGAAAATACAGTACATAAGAATGTTGTGGCACTAACCTCTTTAGATTCACAGATATAGCGTCCTTTTTCACAAATACATTGTCCTTGCCAAGGTTAAGAACAGTATCAGCAATTTCTCCCAGCCTCTGGCTTTTTCTTTACTTCTGGGTGTGCAGAAAATTGAATTATGTGCGTACCAAGTCAACATTCCAGTCTTCCTGGCAGAGCCCGATTCTGCCAGTGGAAACAGAATGTTTTCATTTGCTTTATTTTTTTCTCCCCGTCATTCTATGCTTTTCTGGTTTCTCTGTGTGCGTATTTTCCCCCTGCATTTGGCACCATGAAATTGCTAAGTTCTTCCAGATTTGGGCTTCCATGCCACCCTAAATCTCCGGGTTTGACAGGCTGGGTTGGTGGTTACTGAGATACAATCCAAAAAGCTTTCTCCGGGACCATCTGTCAGTCAGATGTCAACTCTTGAGGAGGGGGAGTTTGGCAGGCACACCTGCCTTGGACACCAGAGTCCGTTGCCTGCTGTTGAGATTGTATCTGGACAGTGCTGGACACAAAATAAGTTCTGGCTACGCCCCGGATGGCTAAGGCTCAGTCAGGTAGCTCTTGGCGGGAGATGTAAAGTTTCTGCCTTCTACCAACTCTCAGTGGCTATTTATCTTCGCCATCATCTTCAGATCAGGACGGGATGTAATGCTTCCTCACGCTGTGGCACCACTGGCCACACTAACTTTTCGGACGCCTTGGTAAGTTCATTTTTGAAGACACTTACAGTCTGACCATCTGTTAGACCCTGGGATTTCCAGCCTCCCCAGGTCACCCCTTCGATACCCTCATGGGAGACCTCATCCCATGTACCGTGGAAAAAAGCAACCGGCATGCACCGCCGCTGTGGTTTTGGAAGTCGGGGTTCGTGTTCTGTACAGTGGAAGAGCTGAAGTCAGAAGGACCCAGTGGTCAGGGCTATCTTCCCTCCCACCACCCGCTCAGACCCACTGGGTGAGGTAGTTCTTTACTGGGTGATCTGCGGGGAGATGGAAGAAATATCAACATGGTGAGGAGAATAGTACAACACCTTTTAGGTCACTCCCAAATGTAACAACAGCCTAGCCCAGGTCATTAAAATGCGGAGGCACGTCAAAACTCCAGACTTCGCTCCTGTCCTGCCTCTCTGTCCGCTGCCCTTCCTGCTGCAAGGCGTCCCCGGCTGCCATTGTCACGCTGTGGCACCATACTCTCTGGGCTCCGGGGGCCGGTTCCTTCTCAGGTTGTGTGTTGTGAAGCAGGGAAAGGGGGTCCTGGCAGTCCCCCGGGGGACCCCTGAGTGTCCTTCCGGAGTGTGGATGGTGCGTGTCCTCTGGCTGGCCACTCTTGGGTTTGCTAGCAAGTCCTGGGCAGCCAGGGTCCGGCGCTCAATTCGGGTCCCTCTTTCCAGAATCCCAGAGGGCCACAGCCAACTGCTTCTGGAGGTTCTGCCCAGTCTCCACAGAGACCCTGTCTGGAGCCACCCTCACTGAGCTGGTGATTCAGCCTCAGTCCCTAACTTCGAGGCTCTTCCAGGCATAGGTCTGGCACCCGTCAGCCCAGTGGACCCAGGACAAGCGCTCCAGTGGCTTCAGGGCAGAGCTGGTGTCTTTCACTCTACGATCATCCAGGAAGTGCACCGCACCCCAAGCAGCTTCTCCGAAGAAGCATCTCCCCCAAACCAGCCCTCTCAGCCTCTCAACCTCCCAGGGAGGCACTGACCTCAACTCCCAAAACCAACTTTTCAGCAGGGCCTTGGCAGTGCCTGAGTAGGTGGGGAGGGCACTTGCTACCCATCCGATGGCCCTGGCCTCTGCAGCTTCAGCCAAGCAGGCGGCAGAGAGCACCTTGCTCTCCTCCCTCCAAGCACGCGGGCAGCAGGGGAGCAGGGCATGAGCCATCTCTCCGCCCTGCCTTGTGGCCTCATCTCCAGCCTGTGGCCACTCAAATACGGGAAGCAGCTCTATTTCCCCTTCATCCTCCTGCTCCTTAACAGCTTCACTCATGCAGTACGTGTCTGGTCGATCTTTTTGTGAAGTGGAGTAAGCGAAGCTGTTTCTGTCTTTGGACGTGACCACCTCTGTCCGCCTCAGGGGGAGCCGTTGAGGGGAACGCCCCTGGGGCCCCACCCACTTCCTATTGGCCAATGAGACCCTTCCAGTCTGCCTTTCCGGCTACAGCGATTGGTTCAGGCATGGGGGCGTGGTGAAAGCTAAGCCAAATGGAGTTAACGACGCTGAATCTTGGGAATGGTTTTCAAATCCCCTATGAGAAACCTATTCTTTTTCCTCAGAATTGCTGAGAGAATAGGATGTAAGCCTAGCGCTCGTCTGCATCATCCCACTACCAGCAAAGTCAGCCTGGCTGAGGATGAAACCAAGTACTCTGCACCTCATAGACGCTCGATAGTTGTTTTTTGAGTGAAGGAAATAAGGCAACTAGTGCCAGTGGTTGATTCAGGTACCACCTGCCCCCTGGGGAAGGGCTGCATACGAATGCAATTCCACAGGTGCAATACGAATGCATTCCACGAATGCAATACGAATTTATCCCACAGGTGCATTTACACGTGGGCAGGTTTATATCACGGGGGCCGGAAGGGGGGTAGATAACTTTTTGACACATACTTTATGTGCTGTTGATTTTTTGCTAGTGGTTATATATAACTTCCTACAAAGAAAATTTTTACTTCAAAATAGACTATTTGCTTTAATTCCTTTACACATTGTTTGGCGCTTCAGGGCTCGGTATATTCGCAGCCATTGCTGTCCTTGTTATTTTGCAGGTTCTGTTTTGAAAACCCCGGCTGTGTAATTACAGCGTATAGACACACGGGGGCGCACCAGGCACCTGTTGAAGAAGGGTCTGGTTCTGCAAACCCGACATTGGAGCCGTTTGTGGGGGTCAAGGAGAGCCCACAGCTGCCTTTTTATAATAAAGTGAAGAGTTTTGCAAAGCGGAAGATGAGGCAGTGTCCTCAATGGAGACGCACTCCGCTCCCAGTGCAGGGGCTCAGCTGTGATTGGTCTGAGACACTCTTTTTGTGCCAGCCAGGAGTTTATAGATGGGCCTGTGCCAGGATTCTGGTCAATAAACATAAAAGCATGTCTCCTGGGAACTTCTGAAAAAGGTTTCCCTGTATGATGAAAAAGAGAGACACTTGAGAAACTTCTTTTCTGTCTGTCCTGTCTTTAGACATTGTGAGAATGTCTGGAGCTGCAGCAGCCGCTTTGTGACCACCAGGAAAGAACAAGAGCACAGCAGAGCCCACCATCCTCATGTTGGAACTACCTGAGCGGCTCAGCTTGCATTAGATGGTTCCCAGCCCTGTGACAAACACAGCCCTGTTGAATTTTACCCCTGGTGTCACATCTGTCAGCCCTGTCTTTCTTTTTATGGCTGATTTTCCAGCTTGTTTACTCCTTCTCCAGGTCAGGGATGCCTGGGTGGCTTCCAGTTTGGGTGATTATGACCCTTCATGTCTGGGTTTCTGCATGGATGGAGGCTGTCTGTCATTTCTTGGGGTCACACACCCAGGGCTGGGATCAGGAGGTCACGAGATGACTTTCTGTTGAACTCCATCAGAAACCGCCCCGCTGTTCCGAGTGCAGCGCCATGTGCCACACCCACCGACCATGCAGGGCCACAATCACTCTCCGTCTCCACCCGTTTCTCACCAGCCAATCCCCACTGCCAAGTGCAGAACCTGGCACATGGCTGGTGCTCAAAATTATTTGCCAAATGAGAGGACAATGGGAGGCCGTCGCCCAGGGGGGCTTGTGAGGGCGTCGTAGGGTTCCCACGCCCAGTGCTGGCCAGAGCTTTGCCGCAGAGGCCCCTCCCTGGGAAGGGGGCAGGATCCTGTCCTTCGAGCACCCCTTTCTCCTCATCCCGCCTCCAGAGCCCTAGGCTCTGGGACTAGAAAGATCTTTTCCCCGCAGGAAGCAAGAAGGTAGGAAGCCCCCTACTCTAGCAGGCCTGCAGCCCCGCCAGCGCCCCGGAGTATTCCTGGGGGCCCGCTCTGCTCCCTGGGAGATGTGGCCTCTGCAGTATTCTCCCGACCCCACCAGCAGAGGAACGGAGGCGTCTTTGTTTCGCTCCTGGCCCTGCCCCTTGGGGCGACACCCGTGCCGCGTGCCGCTGACCTCTCTCCCTTGCCCCCGCCCACGAGGGTCTGTTTGCACGGTCCTTCCACCGCCTTGCTTTTCCACAAGTGCTCTGACCCCAGCTGCTAGTTTTTCTAGGTTAATTGAATTTCCCCCCTGCTGGCCGGGGAAGCTGCAGCCAGCGCCAAGCACAGCTGGCCTGCGGGAAGGGCCAGGCGCGCCCACCGCTGCGGCTGCAGCAGGCACGGCGCTGGAAAGGTGCTGGGCGCTGGGCAGGTCCGGGGAGGGCCTTGGGCTCCTTCCCCTTTTGGTGCGGAGCGGGTCACCGGCCGACGTCTCAGCATCTCCTTAGGCGCAAGGTGGATGTCATGGAACTCAGGAGTACGAGGTTCCCAGCCAGGGGTGGGCTTGTCCCCAGGGAGCTGGAGAGCCAGCTCTGATCTCCCTCGTCACCTACGTCGGGTCCTGGGAAGACCCGCTGCCCTGTCTTGCCTGGTCACCTCCCCGCACTCCCAGACCCCGCAAGGCCCGGCGGGGGACAGAGCCTGACAACTGCGCTGCAGTACCAGGGCTCGAGCAGCAGAGGGCGGAAGTGTTCCTTCGCCGTCTTTTCATTTACAGCTTCTTGATAGAAAGGGAATAGGTAGGTGTGCCCGAAAGAAAAGGCGAGACCACGAAAAAGCAGAACAAAGAAATACGCACCCTCCATAGTCCCAACTCCAGGGAGTATTAACCATCGAAACAGCGCTTTCCCCCTGCCGTGTTTCGCAGGGGCAGTTGTGCACGTTGTTTTGGTCCGTGTTCCATCACAGGTGTGACCACTCCTTGCTCTTGCGTTTGGAGCCTAGATTTGCGCACCTCCTGCGTCCGATGCTTTTCGAGGCATCGGACAAGCTGTCTATATCGTCCTTGCTCGCCGGTGACGGCCGGGCGGGGTGTGCAGCAGGGGTGCGGGGGGCCCCCACAGTTGTTTGCAATCCACAGAGGGGACGGGGTGCAAGGGAAGGGAAAAGTGAGGGGTGGTAGCAGGAGGGCTTCTCGGAGGGGACCCGGAGCCTGGAGGGACGACACAGGAGTGTCCTGGTGACACAGCAGCCACGCGAGCGCCTGTCGTGCGTGAAGGTACAGTAGCAGGGGAAAGGCCTCTGCGGTGTGACAAACATATGGTGAATGCTGAGTCGTTAAAAAAAATTTCAGCGTAAAAGCCACGTTGCCATTAGTCATCCTCAGAACACTCCCCTCGGCTTCAAACCCGCCTAGCCCACCGTCCTTGCCGCTTTCTGAAGCTGTTCTGAAGGTCCTCTCTCGTGAGTGTCTTTACGGGTGTGAGTAAAAATCCGCTCTTTGCGACGGCTGAGTGACACGCAGTGGAAGGGCAGGCTTGGGAAGAAACCAGGGTGGTCCTCAGCCACCCTATTCCCTTGGCCTGGCACCGTGTGACTTCTGGCTCTTCCTCAAAGTACAAATGACCGTGAAAGGTAAATGTTTTGAATTGACCCAGGACATCGAGGCAGCCATGACAGTAATTTAAGGACGCTCACAAAGAAGACTTCTGGAGCTGCCTCCGAAAGCAGCAAGAACCATGGGATGAGGTGGTTTGTTTTTAAATGTGTGGGGGGGTATTTCCAGGGGGATCCATGGCAATGTGTCTTTTACTATGATCATTCACTATATGTGTCTCACTCACCCCATGCGTGGACCACCCCTTGTACCGCGGAGAAAGCTCCCTCGGACCGTGTGGAGGTTGAAGGAAGGGCCTTGGGAAGCAGGGTCTCAGAGGCCTCAGGGTCATTGAATACATCACTACAGTAACTCGGTGTGGGGCATTCTAAGCCAGAAGGCAGCGAGGTCCACTCAAAGCTATCAGGGAGCCAAGGGAAGGCACAGGGGTCATTGCAGGGCCCTTGCTGGTCCTCTTCCTGTGGCACTCTTGCTCTAGTCACTCAGGTCTCCTTAAAGAGGTGTTCTTTGGTCAGCCTGTCTCTGCCAGGTCTGCTGCCCGGTCATCCTTTCCCCGCCATCTCTTTTCTGTCCCCCTCCCCCCTCCTCTTCCCCTCCCCTCCCCCTCCCTCCCTCCCTACTGGGAATTGAACCCAGAACCCCACACATGCTAGACAGGTGCTCTACCGCTGAGCCCCACCCACAGCCCTTGTTTACTTCTTCCACACCTGCCATCACCCCTGGAACATTGTCATCAACTCACTCTCTTGCACACGGCCCGCCCCCTCACACCTCCTTGGTTCCACTATGATGGGTCTCCCGGCTTCATTCACCACCCAAATCCCTCGTGCCAAAAAATGGTGCTTGACCCTTAGAGGGACACAAAGAACAAGCATTCAGTGCATGACTGAATGACGGAACCAGGGAATGAGTGCATTAATACAATAAGAACCTACGGAGTGAAGCGGGGCTGAGAAATTGCACTCCCGAGGTGGGATTTCCGAGGTTCAGCCTGTGGCAGACGCAAGTTCAGGAGCAGATCCCCAGGAAATACCAAGCCTCCAGCAAACAGCTCAGGTTTTGAAACGTAGCCTTAATGTGACTTTTGCATACTGGGAATAATAAAACTGTAGGCAGTGTCTGCTTAGAACACACTCCCCGATTCAATTTCCACTCTGCTCATGAGTGTGCTGTTAAATTGTCAGGTCCCGTGGGTTAGGGATGATAGGTTCATAGTGCGCTCAAACTGGAAGGCCCAGAGGGGTGACGGAGCGCAGACCTTCCAAGTCTGTTGACAGCAGCCCACAATAGAAATGCAGTGTGCATTGTGTGCCAGTATGTGCACACGCGTGTGTGCGCACGCACACACACACACCCCTTACAGGAACCTGTGCTTACCTCTTTTGTGCAGTGAGTACACTTTGCTATTTTCTATTTGTTCTATTTCCTTTCGTCAACGCAGATCACAACCCACCAACCTGATGCTGTGATTCACTTGACCGTCACAGCTTCGACTGAAAACCAGCAGGTCTAAAGCCTCGGGTACACGCAGGAAAACTGAGGAAAACTCAGAGGGGTCAGTGACTTCGCTAAGGTCAGTACCAAGTTAGCAGCAGAGCCAGGGAACAGGGACTTCCCCTTCCTTCCCAGTGTAGACATCTGGAAGCGTGGGAGTCCGGGGCCCTGCCAGAGCCTGCAGGTGCGGGAGTTCCAGCCCGAGGACAGAGCGGCGCAGAAGATGCTCTGGCTGCTCTGTGTACGCTCACTCCCCCCACCACGCTGCACCCTTTTCCTCCGGCTGTCGGACTTTCATACCGTTCATGGCCACCCGGCAAGATGGAACCTGGGTGTCCCACGCCATCAGTACCAAGCCTGGGCATCCGAGTGAGAGGGAGGGCTTATCTGCACTGTGATCTGCTGTGTCCTCAATACCCAGAAAGGTGGCACAGAGTAGGAGTTCCATAAATCCTTGTTGTGGACTCCCGAATGTTATGGCTTGTGTCTAGATGGCCCCTCGAGGCCTCATGCTGTCACAGGGGGGGCTTTTCAGAGGTGGCTGGATTGAGAGTGTGTGATGCTAGGATTAAGGCTGTGTGATTACTAAATGATTCCACTGATTCTGGCACTGTCTTAATCCCAGTAGCCTAGATAGAAGATAAAAGGGGCAGAAAGAAGTTGCTGAGGTATTTTCCTTGCTTTGCTGCCTTCTGCCTGCCATAAACTGTTTCTCCTCTGCTATGCCTGTCTGCCAAGACACTCTGTCTTGGAGGCCGCTGACTATGGACTGAAACCTCTACAAACTGAGTTAAATAAGCCTTTCCTCCTTTACCTTTGGGTGTTGGGTATCTTGTCTCAGCAACATGAAAAGTAATTAAGACAATGAATAAATGGAGCGGCTGGCAGCTGGCATTGAGTCTGGATGAAAACAATCTCAGACCACATCCAGCTATGCCTAGGAACTAGCAAACAGCAGGAAATAGCCCAAGAGCAGGTCTGGAAGCTTAGGGGTCTTCCAGGTCTTTGTCTTTATGGAGGCTCAGAAAATGTTTTGTATGGAAGGATCATGGGGACAAGGCCATGGGATTTGTGTAACATCCATGGAGTCAGGACCACAGTCACTTGGGGACCAGGCCTCACGTGCAGCCCCTCGGAGTCAAGGGTGCCAATCTTAGACTCGGCTTGAACTTTGGATCCTCACACCTCAGCCTCCCAGAGTGCTGGGGTTACAGCTGTGCACTGCCACACCCAGCCAACCCTAGATTCTTAAACCAGGGTAGGGAGCATCCCCAAAGTATTTTCCCTGGTCCTCTGATCTTGAATAGCACCGATGTCATTGAAGAGAACATGCTTCTAACGTCTACTTTGCTCATTAGCGGCCGTTATTTCTCCAACGACACTTACATTTGAAGCTCACAGAACCAATGCATGAAGCCTCCAGTGTGGACCTGACAAAAACTGGTGGAGCCAGGTAAGTTGCTGCCTCTAGAGTGTAGCTTTTCTGATGATCCCTCCCAGAGAGTAAATTCCTGATCAGAGCAGCTGGCCGCTGCTACAGGGAAGATCGAGGTTGGTATGCTGCTGTCCCCTGCGCATGCAGAGAGCGCACAAACGGGTGCTTTGCTACATAATTATGTGAGTTGTTAAGGCTGCTGAGGGAGTGAGCAAAAGGAGAAAGCTGTGGCTATGCCTGGCTTCCCTGAAGCTTTATATACCTTGCTTGGGATGGAACCCAGGACCTCCTGCATGCAAGCAAAATGCTCTATCATGAGCTACATCCCCAGCCCTGGAGCAAGTGATTTAACAATAACTGGAGAGTCATAGCCTGAGGAGGGGAATGGTAGGAGGAATTCCAGGCAGAAGTAACTGAGTGCAAAGGAACAAAGGCAGTGGTGGCAAACCTATGGCACGCGTGCCGCAGGGGGCTGTTTTCATCATTGAAAGCCCTGAAAGGTTCGCCATCACTGTGCTAGGCTGAGTGGCAGCACAGCCTATCTGAGGGGCAGAATGAAGACTCATGAGCAGAGCCAGGAAAAGTGGTGAGGGCCAGAACTTTCTGGCTGTACCAGCCACAGCAAGGATTTGGGCTTCTGCATCTCTCTAGGTTTTCCCATCCTTTGCTAGAGATACTGGCAGATACTGGGTTAAACAAAGCTCAGAAGGACCCAGAGAAGTCAGTGGAAATAAAATCCTTTGTATATGCCTTCATGCTGTAAAATCCAATTTAATATTGATATTCTCATTTTTTAAAATAATAATTTCCATTAGATTGAGACCAGAATGCCTCATGAAGCCCAGTGTGGCTTGCCAATTGATTCACGGAATGAAATCTTATCTAAAATCTTTTTATTTTATGCTATTAAAGACACAGGAGAGAGCAGGCAAGAAAAAAGTTTCACTGCTCAGTTAATGCACAAGGTCAGCGGGAAGCGGCCCCAGGGCTGTCTTAAAAAGATTGTCATTTCTGATTTCCCACTCCTGTTTCACGTTACCAGTAATTGACAATTCTCCCCCCGCTCCAGATGAAGTTAATGGATGGATGCGTCCTTGTTTGCACCTTGAATTTTATTGGGAACTCAGTCCCAGGGCTGGCATCGCCCCCAGGTGACTTCGGAGGCCTGGGTGGTCAGTGTGGTTTGCTCCTATGTTCCCCTGTATCCAAGGGCCTCAAGGCAGGACAGAGCTAAGGGTGTTCACTCCCCTTCGGCCCTGAGACCACATGCCACATGGCTCTGAACCCCTGGGGAGCACATCGCTCAGAGAAAGGAAAGACAGGTTTGAGGGGGGTGCTTCAGGTGTGCCAGGAACCCAGCCACGGGCAGAGGTGGCCCCTCATGAGGAGAGGAAAACCCAGCATGCTAAGTGCACCCCCAAAAGAGGGAACATCCCCCTTCATTTTCTTTTCCTTTATAGATAATAAAGAGCTTCTGTGTCCAATATGCAAGGGCTGATCGAAAACTACAGTTGACATTTGGATTAAAATTTATCACAGTAAATGTTATGTTGTCAATAATCCCCTTAAAAATATGCCCTCTTGGTTCAAACACACTTATCACATCTTTCTTGCCACTTTCTGAGGAGTTCTGGCAGCCCACTTTCCTGAGTGGCTTTACATGGTATGATAAAATAAATAAATAAATAAATACAGCGAATGACGTTGCCAAGGGCCATTCAACAGAAAGACAGGGGCATAAAAATATTAACATATCTTCATCCCCCACTTTATTCACCAGGGCTGGCACCCTGCAACTTCTGGCTGTTCCTTGAAGTTAAAATGACCATGGAAGTTCCACATTTTGAACGGATTCAGGACATCGAGGCAACCCATGACAGAACAGTTTAAGACACTCACGGAAGAGGACTTCCAGAGCTGCTTCTGAAAGTAGCAAGAATGGAGGGATACATGTGTTTGAGTTGAGGGAGGGTATTCTTTTTTTGGTTTTTCTCCGGTACCGGGAACCGAACTCACGACCTTGCGCTTGCCAGGCAGGCGCTTTGCCGCTGAGCTAAATCCCCAGCCCGAGGGAGGGTATTCTGAGGGGAATTAATCACACTGTGTCTTTTACTGTAGTAACTTTTTATTGAAACACACATCATATTTTTCAATATATGTTATATACTCTTATTACAGAAAATATAGCCAACCACAGCCCCTGTACACTGCTCAGCCACACAGCCCCTGGCTGTCCTCTGCACACTCCACGTGGGCTGTTCCTCTGCCTGGAACTGTCCTCCCCCAAACATCCTCACTGCCTCCTCCAGTTCCACACTTTCCTCCATTGCCCTTTCCTCAGTGAGGCCATCCCTACCTCCTATAGGTATCCGCACTCGCCACCTCTAACCCGGCACCACCCCACCTGGCTTTATTTTGTTCTCTCAAATGCACATCCACCCCAACCCCTCTCTATATCTATCTTATTTAACTGTTTAGCATCTGTCTCCACCCACCAGGGAGTTTTGCATTTTGTAATTCACTACTTTATCTTCATGCATAGAATAGTGCCTGGCACATAACAAATGCTCAGTAAAAATTTATACATGAAAATAAGAGAATGGGGCTGAGGATTTAGCTCAGCGGCAAAAAGTGCCTGCCTGGCAAGCGCAAGGTCGTGAGTTCGGTTCCTGGTACCGGAGAAAAACCAAAAAAAAAAAAAAAGAAAATAAGAGAATGATGGAAAAATCACCCCGGTTTCTCCTTCCTATCAACCACCGGTGATATTCTGGTGCATTAGCTTTTATCTTTTTTTCTATATATAGGCTTTGGTTTTTATCTGCACAATGGCGTCACTGCCTATGGATAAAACAGCAGAGAAGCTCACAGAAGCCTCTTCTTTGCCCTTCAGTGGCTGTGTCTGTCCGCAGAGTGGTTGACTTGCATTAGGAGGCTGCTCCTCAGAAGCTGTGGATCTTGTGACACCAAGGAGCTTCTCACAGAAGAACTGGGGTCCCCAGATTCTCACCTCCTACACCATATGCAACACGCAGCTGATGTCACTGAGCCAGAGGGACTGCTTGTGCTGGTTAGAAGTTTGTTTTGTTTCGTTTTTGTTTGTTTGTTTGCTGTGCTAGGACAGGAAGCCAGTGCCTCACTCATACTGGGCAAGTGCTCTTGCCACTGAACTATATTCTAATACCAGATGTGTGTGTGTGTGTGTATGTGTATGCATTATAGGGGACTGAACCCAGGACCTTCACACTGAGCTATATCCACAGTTATTTTTATTTTTTTTATTTTGAGACAAGGTCTTACTAAGTTGATAAGTTGCCCAGGCTGCACTTGTACTTGAATCCTCCTGCCTCAGCCTCTCCCAGAGAGTGCTAAGATTACCGGTGTGTGCTGCCACACCCAGCTCAGATGCCAGATTTTTAGATCCTACTTTGTCATTTATATTGTATTTGTTTCTTACCTTATTGCAACCTCCCTATAAAAACCATCTCTAAAGGCTGCACTGACTGCCATCAGATGAACCCTCACCTGCTCACACTGTCCCCTGTTCTTGTACACTGAGGGTGTTTGTGGCTCTCCCAATCACGTGTCACACAGAATGAACAACTTCATACTTCTTACTGGATTTCTGATTCCTTCCTTGGGTCAACATCAGGATGATTTCTGCCCAGGAAATCAGTGTCAGATTAGCAAAGTGAATAACTGCAAGAAAGACCATCTTGTCTTGGAAACCAGGTCGTGGAAGGGTTAGGGACAGCCAGGAACTGTGCCCCATAGTGTGGAAGGCTTTCCAAGGACAGAAGACGCCATGATCAGTTAGAAGGAGAAGCTACCTGACCACTAGGGGGAGCCAGGTGAGAGTAGGGGTTAAAAAGTGTGATTGTGTTAACCAAGCCATGAGTCAGAGCAGGTAGGAGAGTGAATAATAACACTGATATTTAAAATACTACCAGCCACATTTACTGAGTACCTGTGAAGTGCCAGGCCCTGTACCAGTCCCATATGACCTTCATCTCTGAGCCTTTAATAACTCCGTGAGGGGCAGATCATTATCCTTTCTTATAGTCACAGAATTGGAAACCATCTCAGAGAGGGGCAAAGTGATTCACCGAGCATCACACAGCCAGTGAGCGGCAGAGCCACAATCCACACTCACCCTGTCAGACGTGAAGGCTGGCTTCTCATCACCTTAAAAATCAGAATCCAGGCCAAAAGCATCCAAGAAGGCTGGAGCCAGGAAGAAGCAGCATGTTCCAAGACTAGAGGTCAAGACCAAGCTGGCAGTGTGTGTGTAAGTGACACAGCAATGCTGAGAGGTGACGGTGACAGGCTGACCCTCCCCAGTCTGGTCCCAGGTGGTGACAGTGGTGGCTATAGTCACTGCCAGGTGTGGCACAGCGTGGGGGCTTGTGCCAACATCCCCCATCGCCCTCCTGTCCTTCCTCCCCCTGCTCTGTTCTGCAGGCACCTGTGCAGACCCCTCCTATGAGCTCCCCGGGTTCACGATGGCCAGGTGTAACAGGATGGCTGGGAGCTGTGGTGTGAGTGGGACCTTTGTCCCCTGGCAGCCCCGAAGTTCCCTTTGCTGGCTGCCTCACTATCTCTACAAGGCTCTACCCAGACTCCAGGCCTTGGGGTGGCGACCGCACCTCTAGCCCAGGGGCGCCACCCACTCTGTCTGTCCTCCACATACCTCTTCCAGGTCAAGGGAAAACGCCCTTCCAGTGACTCCTCTCACTGTGTCCCCACTCCTCCCCTGGAGAGGTCCTGGCCCAGCCCCTGCTTACTCCCATTTCTTCCGTCCCAGCTCTCTACGGTGACATTCTAAACTGGGGCCCTTGTGGTTTGACCGTGGCCATCACCCATGCTTAAGTGGTCCATGCATAGCCTGAAAATTCTTTCAGATCAGTTTGCCACTTTGAACCATTGGGGGAGTTCCTGTAAAATTCCAGATATTCTGGCTTCCCTGGATAACCAAACCAAACCAAACCAAGCCAGGAGACTTCTGGCCCCATAGGACCCGCCCCCTCCCCTGGCAGCTCTCAGCCAGCACTGTGGCCCTCCTCCCCGCCCCGTACTCAGGTGCCCCACCTCACCGCTGTGCTTGCTCAGGTGAGCAGCCTGCCCCTGCCCGCCCGCCCGGAGTTTCTGAGCAGCTCTCATTAGCCACAGGCTCGGCCTGAACCAGGGGCTGTTTGTGAGACAGACCAGAACCAGGCAGCTGCTCTGGGGCTGGGGAGTAGCTCGTGACAGTCAACGCTGGAGGAAATGGAGAAGCCCTGATGGCCCCGAGCTTGGCCGTGGGGTGGGCTGGGGCCGCAGGGCTGCTGCCGTATGGATCTGCCCGAGTGGATAAAACAGCTTCGACCGGGCGTGATGTTAGTTAGATTTGGGAATCACAGCCTCAGTAATTAGCCACAGGAAGAGCTGAGAGGGATCAGGAGAGCTCTTCAGAGAACCTACCTCCATGGGACTGAGTTCAGACAGAACCAGGGGATTAGAAGGCTCTGGATAAAATAGCCACATCTGCTCTCCCCGCTGGGCTTCGTGATAGAGCTCTTCGGGCCAAGTAGGAGCTAGAAGTTGAGGTCCTTGACCTGATCCAGTGATACTGCAAATATCCTCCCCATTTGCTCATCGAGTTTACCAGCTCGCCCTGGCCAAGTGCAAGATTTGGACTAGACCGAACCCCTGCCATTGTCAAGGAGCCAGGAAAGCTCTCTGGAAGGTCTCTGCCCCACACACAGCCCGGCGCTGGAGAGAACTGGGGAGGGCAGGGGGCAGCAGAGGGCTGCAGTCAGGCACCACACGACAAGCCTCACAGAGCTGGTCACAGGCCCCCAGGATGGTTTCACTTGGAAAGTTAGGGGAAAGTTCTGTTTGGAAGCAGCCTTGGCTTCTATCCTATGGGAGGGGGTGATCAGTAGCAACATCAGCCCTGAGGGCTCAGGACAAGTCCTGTCCCTTAGAGCTGGCGGCCTTTTAGCATTTAGTGAACCTTTTCAGTTGGCCTCGCTTCTCTGCAGTAATAGGCGACCCAACAGTAGCTAAGTCTTGGCGACCCAGGGCGTGGCCAGGGACCTGAAGCTGCGGGATCTCCCAGGAGCTTGTGGAACTATAGAATCTCGGAGCCAGGGTCCTCCTGGTTGAGGAGAGATCCTTTGGAGGAATGTACACATAGAGAGATGGGGTGTGGGAGGGTGAAGGCAGAGCACCCGGGGAGGGTGGGAAGTGGCTGGAAAAGTGGCAGCAGCATTGCTAGAGGCAAATACCTGAGCCGTATCTGGTCAAGGCGTCCTTTGGAATCCTTCACCCAGGCAGAGCAGGGTGAGGGCCCTGGCCACGCGACTGGGTAAGGTGAACCAGAGGCCACCAGGCTCTGCTGAGAAATGCTGACCCTTGGTCTTGGACTTGGTAGGGCTCTTGGCCTCCTCTGTAGGTCACAGGCTGCTACATGCTTCTCTACACCTTGTCCCTGGCAGGGAGCGCCAGGCATTGCTGGCAGGAGGTGACCACAGGACACAAAAAGGAAGAGACTGGGTAAAAGTTCCACCCTCAGGGGTGGAACCCAGAGCAGGGGCTCTCAACCAGGGGACCCTCCAACCAGGGCACACTTCACAGTGTCTAGGGACAGTTTTGACCATCACGGCTGGCAGGCAGGTAGTGCTACCAGCATCTACTGGATAGAGGCCAGGGGTGCTGCCGAACACCCTCCCATCAAAGGACAGGCCTCAGTGGTGACATTTCTGGTCCAAGATGTCAACAGTCTCAGCTGTCCTCCAAGAAGCCCTTTTACTCCTTTTGCTGTCCTCCAAATCACCTCCCGCCCCCCCCCCCTGTGAAACTAACACCAAGAATACTACACAT